ACAGTAGAACACGAGACAGATAATCTGGTTCCTCTGGCTCCTCCTAGCACTCCTTATAGAATTTGCAAAACTTATTTTCGTTCAGGACCGATAGATTCTTGCAAATCCCATTAGGAGCTCTAGGAGGAGNNTCTGTCTCATGTACTACTGTCAATTTTCAGCAAATATGACAACATTTTAATAAAAGCTTTAAAGTAATTTAGAGCCATACCATTCCCCCACTAATGTTCTGAGCTGCTGACACACACTTAAATATACTTCACACTTCTTGCGCTTAACTTTTTAAATGATACACACTAAAGAAAAAAATCACACCACAATCTATTGCACTTCTCTGTACTTAAAGTGGGTAAGCAGAGACATTTATTTTGAAAGTATCATTTTGGTCATGTTCCAGGTTGTCCCAGCATTTGTCCTGGTTCTTCAGCCTGTATCCAGAACAAGGCAGGCTCTCTACATGTTTACTCCAGTAACTGTTGCACAGGACTTCAGTGACTGATAGATGTCAAGCCAAACCATGTTTAGTTCCTCATTGATCAAAATGTTCAATTTACACTACTCAGTAACACTAAGACTTATCCTTGTTTGGACTCTGTTTTCCTTGCAGTGATATTATTTATATACAGTTCATTTGTATTTTTATCTGCATGAATTGGTCCATTGCATATTTTTAAAACTAACATTGGGTTTCTGTTTGTATTTCCCTATGGAAAGGTGTCGGTGTGCAGCTTCTCTTTGATATTTTGTTTTTGGTAACGTCAGATTTGCTGTTAAATTTGTTGTACCACTGAGTAGCCTTAGGCTTAATCTCCAGATTATAAATAGTTAGAACAAAAGTGGTCAACCTTGGGTGCCAGATTGATGTAATCCTGCTGTATTTCTTTATGACTCCTGCCCATAGATCTGCTCTACATGTAACCTGACAACCAGTGCCGTACAGTACATTAGAAGGTTTAGTATTGAACTCTTTGCATTGCACTAAGAGGGATCTAATGATCTCTATGAAGTAATGGTTTTGATTTGAATTATTGGTCCGTCTGTGCAGCTGTTTTGTTTTATCGCCATAGCCTCTGTAGGGAACAAATGAGGGGCCGTCTATGTCACTGTAAGCAAAGTAATATATTTTCCACATATTGAAATTAGACACATATTTAGTAAGACACCTTATCAAATATAAAAGAAACATCTTACTTTAATTAGAGCACAATGGTATGTGGGATGTTTATGCATTTATTGACATTGGTCTTTGTGTATTTTATGCTTTGTTTGTGCACAAGGAAACAATGGTTTATCTGTAGATGTGTAAAACATGAGAGCTGCAACTGCTGGATTATGTCTCCTTTCTTAACTACATTTCAAAATGGGCTTGTAAAGGAATACACCTGCGTTCACCAGCCACCCTCGATGTTTACAGTAGTGGCTGACGGGTATGGGATTTTCAATGGCCGATATATAATGCCCTAATCAAAACAAAGAAAAATCATGGGTAACCCCATTATTCCACGCACATTACAATCTAATATACATGGTTACTGTATCCTGGCAGTAGTACACGAGACAGATAATTTGTGAAACAATCAGGTTCCTCTGGCTCCTAGAGCTCCTAATGGCATTTGTAAGAATCCACCGGGCCTGAATGAAAGGAACCAATCAGAGCCAAGAAAGATCTTATTCCCAGGCCATCAAATACAGACTTTTACAGACTTTGGGACCCTGGGAATGAGACTCAACAATCAACTATCTTCAAGTCTCCAACCCAAAGTATCTTTCTATCTTTCTTGGCTCTGATTGGTTGTTTCCGTTCAGGCCCGATGGATTCTTGCTGGAGCTCTAGGAGGAACCAGAGGAACCTGAAATTTTCACAGATTATCTGTCTCATTTACTACTGTCAG